CATATTTTTATGTGAAAGTAATAACACATGTATAATTATTATCTACTGTATTTTGGTGTGTATGTGTATGTGTTTGGCTTGTTCTAGCTTTGTTCCAGATTGGCTTTCCCTGCTATAATCAGTCCTTTTATCTTTCTTAATTATGAAATTTTGGTCCCTGTTTTAAGTGGATTCTCTTTGAGACACCCCTCCCCTCCCCCACCCCCATGCCTAACCTCCTTACCAATTATCCTCCACTAAAGAGAACCACCAAATAATTACTTTAGGCTGAGGGGATAAGGAAAGGCCTTGTAGGCTGATTTGGGTTTCTTAAAATAAAATGGGGACTAGGCCTAAAAATCCCCCAAGCAGACAAAAACCATTTAAGCCACGTAAGCAAAACTTAATGAACATTGACGAAACTTAATTTAGGTTATTTCCTGCAAATGTCTCTGATAATCATAAACAAAACTTAAAGTGCCTTCCATTTTAGGTATAAGACAATTACTTTTAACTAATCCCCTGCTGTTTGGAAACTCTTGTAACAACCAATCCTTGTGAAAGTTAAAGAGCTTCCTCAATCCCCTGTTAGAAGCCATCCTATAAAGACATGCCTTTGAGCTTCTTGCCACTTTCTATCTGAAGTCTCCCAGTTTGCAAACTGTTCTTTTGTATGCACAATAAATTCTTAATTTTAATTTGATGATTTTATGACAATTTCTTGTGTCGTTACTGGGATCTGAAGACTACCCTTTGACGAGCCCCAAGGCTGGTGAATAACCTGGTGCTGCTGCCTGCCAAGCTCATTGTGCTCACTGCTTTCTCACCAACCACAGAGTTCTAGGGTAAATCTGTTTTGGATCTAAGCTCTGCTTTTTGTGTCTTGAGCTCTCTGACTTTATTGTGCATACATGTGTCTTGTTCAACCTTCTTGATCACCTTTCTGTCTGTAAGAGGAGAAAAAGCCCATGATTCCCTGGATTCCTAGACAGCAGTGAAATTCCCAGGCTCCCTTATAGATACAGTCATTGTAGAGAACCTAAAGACAAATTTAAACCCCGGTCTTGAGCCAATCTTTGAACCACTGTAAATTATTTTCCAGACCCTAAAAAGGACTAAGCTAAATTTATAGAAGAATTTAAAATTCTTTTTGATGCCTGTGACCCTGAACTACCTGGTTTTTACCAGTTTATTAACATGATACTGAATCCAGGAAATGCTGAAAAATGGCTTCAAGAAATGTATTGGAAAGACCCTTCCTAAGATCTTAAGGGTCCCAACAAATATGCCTCCAGAGATAGAATAAAAAGAGCAAGAAAATAAGTCAATGGCTTCTTGAAGCAGTTCCCAAAGGTTTTCCTATGAGAGTTGATGGGGCCATAATACAGTCCTATAAACAGAAAGAGGATGAACCAGTGGCAGATTTCTGAGTTCGTTTAGAAGTAGTATTTAGACAATACTCTGGTCTCAAACAGCTGGTGACTATTTTTGCCTTGTGTGCCCATTTGTTAATGAGCTTCACCCAGAACTCAGTGGTTTGTTACAGAAGCATAGCTTAGAATAGGAGGTCACGCCTCTCCCAGAGCTTCATCTTCCTGAACATTTTGAAAGAACAATAGAACAGAAAAAAGGCTATCAAACAAATAAATTCACGGCCCAACAACTGTAACAGTTACGAGCACATTGATCCCACTTCAGGAGGTCCAATCCTACTCCACATTTTGCCCTTATTGACAGAGATGGCTGTGAATACTATCATCAAAAGGAACATTAGAAGAGGAACAGCCCACTTTTAGATAGAGGGCCTGTTAAACAATCCAGTTGCCCTATAAGAGAGAGCAGCCCCCAACTCCCAAATTCTTGTGATACTCAGCAATGACAGGGCTCTGAGAAATTTCTCAGTAAGCTACTTTCAATAATTCTTTAAATCAAGAATGAAAGTTAAACTAAACTTACATGGAGAAATTTCTACCATACTGATAGATGCCAAAGCAATTCTGTTTACTTTAACCCCCACCATGATACATAAAGAACTTTCTCAGAGTAATAAAAATATCTTAGTTCTGGGAGTTTCCAGTCAAGTTCAGAGAGTTCTTTTATTGGAGCCCATGACTGTTATCCTTGGCTCTTTCTCTGAAAGTCATACTTTTCTATTATTTGATACTACCTCTCTGAATTTTCTATGTAAAGAACTGCTGTCTAAATTATGAGGCTAGATAAAATTTTCCTCAGGAGAAATAACCTTAGAATTTCCAGACTCATCAGACACTTAGGCATTATGTGTCCTAAGGAGACTATTAAATTCTATAAAAGTATAGATGCTATAAATCTCTCTGAAATCTGATACTCTATGGGCCTCTTCTTCCACAGATGTGGAAAAAAATAAAAAGTACCAAACTCATTAAGATTCAGATTGATTCATCTAAACCGCTTCTTAACTTGCCTCAGTACCCCTTAAAGTCTGAAGCCATACAAGGGCTTACTCCTATAACAGAAGATTTAATAAATCAGAGGTTTTTTATCCCTGTATCAATTCTTGCAGTACTCCTGTCTTGCCTTTAAAGAAACCCCATGGATGGGGATGGAGATTTGTACAAGACCTCAGAGCCGTAAGTAAAATTGTGATACTGAAGTTTCCAATGGTACCAAGCCTAATTACTTTGTTGGCAAATACACCAACCAAATCCAGATGGTTTACAGTTGTGGATGTATGCTCTGCTTTCTTCAGCATCCCAGTGGACAAAGTAAGTCAATATTTATTTGCTTTTACTTGGAGAAATCAACAGTCTTGTTGGACAATAGTGCATCAGGAATTTACTGAGGCTCCCTTGTACTTTTCACAAATTTAACATTAGAATTTAAATTCTCTGCTGCAATTCCTCAGAAATTCTGCCTTGATTCAATATGTAGATGATTTGCTTCCTTGTTACTTCTCTATGGAGAACTCAGGAATGGATTCAACATATCTGTTAAAGTGGGGCTTATAAAGGCTGTAAAGCCTCAAGATAACATTCAGTTCTCACAAGAGATGGTTCATTTTCTAGGTCATGACTTCTCTTCAAAAAGAATCTCTCTTCAGGAAGAATAAATGCCATTCAAATTATCCTAGACCTGTAAGGATTCCTTAGATTTGTGGGATATTGTTAAGTCCTGTGTCTCATATGTTTCTTTATTGGCTTCCCCACTCTATGACCTAAAAACAGCACTTAGGAATCTCTCCCTTGGGAAATAAAACAGGAGGATACCTTTACTGAACTCAAATGGGCTTTATAAAACCCTCCTGCATTAGAGCTCCCCAGCTATACTAGACCCTTCATACTGTTCCTCTGTGAATGGAACAATTGGTACAATTGCACAGGGAATCCCAAACTTAATTTCAAGCTACAGAGGGATTCACTTTACTGAACAACTTATAAAACAACCAGACAAGGTTATTCAAACGTAATGGCACTACCATGTTCCTACCATCCTCAATCTTCAGGAATGGTTGCATGCACCAGTGGCATTCTAAAATTAAAATTGATAAAATTAACTGAAACCACAGATTACCTTGGCCTTGAATGCTACCTTTATAGCTTATGTGATAATAAGATCAACACCTTTTGGGAAACATAAGTTGACACCTTATGAAATCATTACTGGTTGACTGATGCCCTTAATGATAGAAACTCATGCTCTTGTAAACTCTGATATGACCCAATACTGTAAGGACCTAGTGCTGTATTAGAAGCCTATTTCCAACAGGCCAAAGAGGCCTTCAGAGACCCTCCACCTGATGAGGACTTCAGCCCAATACACTGGATGGTATACCAGTGATGGTATTCAGGAAAAGACAGCAACAAAAAACTGCACTGGAACCTTGATGGAAAGAGCCCCATCAGGTTCCTTTAACCTCCCAGACAGCAGTCAGATTACAGAATGTTGAACCTTGAGTCCATATCTTTCAACTAAACAGGTCCCTTAGACTCTTGGACCCACAACTGACTTAACATTAAGGATACCGGTAAAATTTTTTCCCCAGAAGCAAACAATCATAGGATGTAGACAACTTTCCCAGGCCAATGGAACAAGACCACTGGTGCCAAAATTAACATGATTTTGTTACTGATAATTCTATTAAGACTTTACTAATGTTTAATGCAAATACCTGAAAGTAGACACTGTACCAAAAAAAAATCAGTGACTAATCAAATAGGAAGTTGGATATGTACCTAGACTGATGAAGAAGCTGACGTATAAACAGAAAACTATCTGCAGATGAAACCACCAGTCTTGGTTCTTTTGTTCATAAGATAACAGTTCGTAAGAGAAATCCAGGAAGCACTAGTCCTCTCAATACACACAATACTGGATTCCTTTGTTTGTCAGGACATTAATTCTTCATACTGGCACCTGTAAAGTAGAAAATGCTTTTTTATGTAACTCTAAAAACTATAGGGAAAAAAAGCTTCAGGTGGGTAGGTGTAGCTCAGTGGTAGAGCACATGCTTAGCATGTACAAGGTTCAATCCCCAGTACCTCCATTAAAAAAAAATAGGGAAGAGGATATAGCTCAGTGGTAGAGCACATGCTTAACATGCATGAGGTCCTGGGTTCAGTCCCCAGTACCTCTGTAAAAAAATAACTAGAGGAATCTATCGTAAAATACAGATATAATCAGAGAATGAGGGCGACTTAAGCTACTGACAATGTGGGGTGTGAACCTTCCCTCATAGTAAACACAATACAAGAAATAATAAAAAATAATACTCTTGTCTCCAATGAACAAAGGAAGCTATTAAAAGCTTTGGCTTTTGAGCTAGACACACCTGAGTTTAATGCCTGGCTTGGGTACCAACTAGGTCTACAATACTCAACAAGTGATTTAACATCTCCAAGCTGCAGTTTTCTAAGGGCTGTAGCAGCACCTCTTACACAGGGCTGTGGTGAGAATTACACAAGTGTGGAAAAGGTATTAGCCTAGTTCCTGGTACCTAGAAAAAGCTCGGTAGATATTTGTTGACTGAATGAATGTAAGCTAGTAATCTTAAGACCTAAAGCAGGATAGAGTCACAGGAGGAAGAACTCTCTGTAGGAGGTAAGAATATATGTAAAGCACGAGGAGGAGGGATACTAATGGAGGGAAAATAAAGCAGGGTGGTTAAGACATGGGCTTTGGAGGCAGTCAGACCTGGATTCAAATATCAGTCCTACCACTTGAGCAAGTCACCTAATTCAAAACCTTGTAAACAGGAAAAATTGAAGCAAAAACGGAAAACTTTTTGTTATTGAAGTAAAATATGCATGACATAAAATGTATCATTTTAATCATTTTTAAATGTCTAGGTCTGTGTCATTAAGTATGTTCATATTGTACCACCATCACTTCCTACCATCTCCTGGATACGTGTATGTGAGTTACATTGTTGGGGTTTTTTTCCTTTTTAATTTGGATTTGGAAAAAATGAACAGATAGTATAGAAAGTTTCATATTACTCCCCGCCCCCCACCACACACACAGTTTCACTATTAACATTTTACACTAGTGTGGTACATTTGTTATAATCAATAAACTGATATTGATACATTATTATTACTGAAGCCATAGATTATACAGATTTTCTTAGTTTTTAACCTAATGTCTTTGTTCCAGAATCCCATCCAAAATACCACATTGCATTTAGTCGTCATATCTCCTTAGGCTTCTCTTGACTGTGACAGTTTCATTCTTTCTGATGCACAGATTTGAGGCATACTGGTCCAGTATTGTGGGGGTGTTTTGAATGTAACATTTCATGATTAAAAAATACTAATCAATTGTGATAACAATACCTGTTGGGCCTACTTGAAACACACACACACACACACACACACACCTCCATCCTATCACTTTTGTGGAAACCAGCATCCTTTCTGACTCTAATCACTGTGGATGTCTCTCTGCCTCATATTGGGCCTCTGCTCCCCCATCTTTTCTCCACACTGCAGCCAGAGAGGCTTTAAAATATAAATCAGCTTCTATTCTGTTCTCTAGCTGCTTCAGTGGCTTCTTACGGTATAAACTAAAACACTACAAGATCCTTCACGCTCTAGCTCCTGGCCACCTCGTCAGTGTCATGACTTATTCCTCTCCTCCTGGCTCAGTCTGCTCTGTCACACTGGCTTCCTTACAGACCCTGAAACACACCACGCCCCTGCCCTAGAGCCTTTGCACCTGTCCTCTGCCTGGAAAGTTCATTCTCCATGTAGCCATGTTGGCCCACTCCTTCACTCCTTTCAAGTCTCTGCTCAGATGTCACTTCCTAAAGAGAGGCCCCTATCTTGCATAGCAGCCTACCCCCTAAAGAGAGTTGTCCCCCTAAAGAAAGTTGTCCTCTTTCTCCTTAGCTTTGTTTTAACCCAGAATATTTATCACTACCTGACATTACATCCTATATCTTAATATGTTTATTGTCTGTTTCTTCCTTTAGAAGACAAGTTTCATGAGGCCAAACACTTTAATTTGTTAATACTCAATAACATTGGTTAAATTAATTAGTGAATAAAAGACTTTTATTTTTAACAAGCAAGTTGGATGTTAGGTAAGGTGGTTCACAGTCTGGGACTCCTGAACTCCTAGATATCTTTGAAGGTAGCAATTTCCTGAATTTTTAAAGATCTGGCCAGGCTACAGGTTCTTAAAAATGGGTAGTATGATTCATAAATGGATATATCTCCAGAATCTGGGATAATTCCTCAAATACATGGAGCACTCAGTAGAGATATCTGCATTTTAATTAACTAGAATGGAATTGGCAATGTGGCAAAGTGTGGTGGCAGCTTATCTGAAAGGCAGAGGAATACTGAGAAAGATTATGTATAACGATGATAATCACAAATGAATATCATATAATGTCTGTTAATAACTAGTGTTATGGACCGAATTGTGTCTCCACCCTTCCACTCCCTGCCCCCACCCCCATGTAGCCCCCAAACCCATTGTGACTGTATTTGGAGACATGGCCTCTAAGGAAGTCATTAAGCTTAAATGAGGTCATAATAGTAGGGCTCTAATCTAATAGGGTTGGTGTCCTTCCAAGAAGAGAAAGAGACTATGCACAGAGAAATGCCACGTAAGTACACAGTGAGAAGGCAAGCCAGAAAGAGAGGTCTCTCCAGAAACCAACCCCACCAGCAGGTTGATCTTGGACTCCCAGCCTTCAGAACTGTGAACAAATAAATTTCTGTGGTTTAAGCCACCCAGTCTGATTTCAGTCACCATAAGCAGTATCATCTTAGAATGTGAAAGACAATGAGGAAGATAAACACACACTCCTGTGTTTTAAACATGGCTTCAGATTCATTGTTTTGTGTATTATATGGAAAAAAATCTATGAAATAAAATTGTATTTCAGTTTTAAATAATAGATTGGTTCTCTTTTATTCAAATAATGCTCATAATTTAAAAGTCCTGGAAAAAATAAATTCACAATCAAATCACAATCAAATTTTACATGTGAAACCGTGGTAATTTTGGTAGATTTTTTTTAAGTGTTATGGAACTGTAAAGGACTTAGTTTGCAGAATTTTCAATGAAAATGATACTTTGGCCAAACCAAGATGACTCCCCACAGTAATAACCTACATACAGCCATATTCAGTGACTAAATTGTGTTTATGATTTTCTCAAACAATGGAGTTCATTTTGACTATTTATCTAAACAAAATGTGATAAACAGAGCAATAAGAAAGAAAAATGTAACCCTGGAATGCATTTGCAGCCAATGCATAGAGCTGTGGCCTTAGCTTTCCGAAGAGCATTTAAACACTGCCATACACCGTCCATCTGTGTGTCCTGCAGTGGAGTGACTACACGGTTCTGCCTTGATCTCAGTGGAAGTCTGAGTCACAGGCACTAACAGTCACAAGATTGTTAATTCTTCAGAAGCACCAAATAGACTTCAAAAAGGAAGGATAAAAATCTTAAGACTCTAGTAGTGTATCCTAACTAAAATTCCATGAAGCACATGATTGTAGTTGTGACAAAGCAGTCTTTATGAGCACATGTTTACTGTTAAAAAAGTAGAAGCCCTGCCAGAAAGCCTTTATATATGATTTATTAAATTTATTAATGTTTGAACTTCTTATTTTACACATTTCATAACATTATCAGTGCTAATTTTATGTGATGCTACATAGGACCAGGTTCTTTAAAAGAATTGATTCAAATTAAAGTATATCTACCTCTTCTAAAAACAGTGTAGCATCCAAATGCCTGCAATGTACTTTGAGGTAGGAATCATGTTTAATTTAATTTTGTTTTTCCTGTAACTGATAAAAAAAAAAGAGATACGGAGAAAATGCTTGTTGAAGTTGAATGAACGAATGGACAATCAAGCACAGTTTAGAATTTTAGAAGGAAATTTCTAGAGAATACCAGATCCTTAAGCTACCATTTACTTTTAGTTTCCTCCCTTTCTGAAAATAATATGTAGATGGACAGATTCAAAACCAGTCGTCAACTTTATATCCTTCTTTGTTCAGCAACATCATCCTCAAGAGAAATAAAAGCACTAAAATGAAATCCTTGTTTATTCTAATTACCTTGATCAGAAAAATTGAACTAGAATGTGCTATTCTTTGCTCTTACGTGAAGTCCTTAATTTAAATAAAATCTAGCATAAAGCATTTCTCTTTGTGCATGTAACATAAACTCAGTATTAACTCACTTTATTTTTCATTCATTCAAATACCAAAAATCTCTATGGTAAGAGAAGGTCAGATGCTGGAGGGAAAAAAAGTATGGACTGGTCTCATTTTAAACTTGTGATCACTAATTTCAAGTGGCTCTGGCAGATACCTCGCTGTCCTGCTCTATCTAGTCAGTTTCATCCTAAGTCTACATTGCGCTTTCTTCTTTCTTTTCAGATCTTCAGTATCTTCTACCCATCCTCAATCTCAGCTGCTCATTTCACTGGGGGAAAAAAAAAACCACAGAAAGATCCACATAGGTGCTCACGGCCAGGCTATCATCCTGCCTTCATCTGTCCTCATGCTCTACCTTCTGTCCTGTCTTTGTCCATTCAGGCTGCTGAAACAAAAGTACTACAGACTGGGTGGCTTATAACAACAAAAATTTATTTCTCACGTTTCCAAAGGCTGGAAGTCCAAGATCAGGGTGCCAGTATGGTCAGGTTCTGGTAAAGGCCTTTTTGTGGGTTGCAAACTGCTGACTTCTTGCTGTGTCCTCACATGGAGAAAAGGTGAGGAATCTCTCCAGTATCTCTTTTATAAGAGCACTAATCCCAATCAAGAAGCTTCACCCTCATGACCTAATCACCTCCTGATGACCCTACTCCTAATCCAATCACCTTGGGGATTAAATTTCAATATATGAATTTTGGAGTGACACAAACATTCAGCCCAAAGCACCACCATATTGGGTAAACTGCCTGTGCTCCCAGGTAAGGCCAACTCCTCCACTTGTCCTCTGGACTGACCCTCTCACCTGCTCGAGAACACGGCACCCACAACTGCCCAATCTCTGCTACATAATCCATTTCCCCTTTTCTACTAGATTATTTCCATCAGTATACAGACATGCTGTAATATATCCCATCTTAGAACAAAAACAAAACAAAAGTTTGATACAACCACCCTCTCCTAGCCACCAGTCCAATTCTGTATGTCTTTTTACAGCAGAATTCTAAATTCATAACTATCATATTTAAAGGAAAATAAAGTGATGTTGAGAAGTTAGAACCCTCATACATGGCTGGTGAGAATGTAAAATGGTGAAGCCACTGTGGAAAACAGTTTTATAAGCCCACAAAAAGTTAAATATAGTGCTATCAAATGACCCAGCAATTCCACTCCAGCAGTGTACCCAAGAGAACTGAAGACATTTGTTCACACAAAAACTTGTATGTGGATGTTCATAGCAGCATTATTCATAATAGCCAAAAAATAGAAACCCCCAAATGTCTATCAACTATACACCACATATACATACATACAATAGTGTATACATACAATGGAATATTCTTTAGCCGTGAAAAGGAATGAATGAATTATGGATGCATGCTGCAAGTTTGAACTTTGAAAACATGCTAAGTGAAAGAAGCCAAACACAAAAGACCACAAGTTGTATGATACCTTTTAGATGAGATGTCCATTATAGGCAAATACATAGAGACAGAAAGTAGATCAGTGGTTGCAAGGGACTGGGGAATGAAGGGAAGAAGGCATGATTGCCAATAGGGGGTTTCTTTCTGAGGGGATGAAAAAGTTCTGGAATTAGTGGTGATGGTTGCACAACCTTGTGAGTACACTAAAAACCACTGGATAGCACACTTTAAAAGGATAAATGTCTTGGTATGTACCTTATATCTCAATTTCAAAACTCCTCTAATTTGCCTAAACTTACTATCTTGGCACTCTTTTCTCATTTTTTTTCTTGAGCTTACTCCAGTCTGGCTTTCGTTCCCAGTAACCCATGGAAACTGCTATTGGCAATGTCAACTATGCTCTGTTGTTTCCTAAACTTTTAATCAAAATCCTTTCAGCAGAATGTGAGGGAAAAAAAGTTTAAAATTCCTTTAGTAAATGAATTTGTCCTCATGACAAGGATTCTGATAGTTGTAGAAAGGAAGCTAAAGGTGTTCATTAAGGGCAGTGTTTCATTGTTGTAACAGTGCATACGAAGGTGTGAGATTATGCATTTTTGTAGTCTAGCTATTTTAGGTGTCTGGGTTTTGTTTTGTTTTGTTTTAGGGGGAGGTAATTAGGTTCATTTATTTACTTATTTATTTTAATGGAGGTCCTGGGGATTGAGCCCAGGACTTCATGTATACTAAGCATACACTCTACCACTAAGCTATACCCTCCTCCCTCATTTTTCTTTATTTTTGCCATTATAGCTTTTGGGTGGGAATGGGAGGTAATTCGGTTTTATTTATTTATTTACTTATTGGTTTATTTACTTATTATTATTAATGTAATATAATCAATATATTTATTTACTTATTATTAATAGAGGTACTAGAGATTGAACCCAGGACCTCATGCATGCTAGGCATGTGATCTACCACTGAACTATACCCTCCCACCTTAGGTGTCTGCTTAAGGAGAGCATATTTTAAGGCTAAAAACCTTTTGAACCCTATTCTCCAAATCCTGCAAGTGCTTTCTTCCTTCCAATACAATTAAGTAAAGCTATTTACCATCTCAGTGTATACAGTCACCTTTTGAAAGGTATATTCAGTATTTCTGACAAACTAGGACCCTGCTGCTTGACAAGCTGATGTTCACACTTATGGTTTCCCATAATCTGCCCCAACTCTACATCTCCAGCTTTATCTTCCAAAATTCCCCACCACAAACTCTGCTCTACTGAAGCTGGTTTGTTTTCTGTCCCCAAATTATGAAATGGGCAATCCTATTTCCAAGATTTTGCTAAGAACTTTGTTCCTGTCTCAAATATTCCTTTCTTTTCCCTCTGCCTGGTCTTCAAGATTTATTTGAGATTCTATTTCATTTGCTTATTTAGTAAATGTCACCTGAATGGCTACCATATGCGATGCACAGTCTGGAATACTGGGGTACAGTGAAAACAAGCCTGTCCTTATGTAGCTTATATTCTAGCAGGAAAATGACACATTACACAATTAAATAAAACTTTATTACAATTGTGATAAATGCCAAAACTATGAGGCACCAGAAAACAGGATAACCTATGGTAGGGGAAATAAACTGGTCTAGAGGATCAGAAAGACTTTCTCTCATTCATTGTTGCTACAACCTTTTTGTAAAGCAATACGGCAATGTATTAAATCACACAGAACCTTTAACTCAGAAAGTCTACTTTTGAGAGTTTATCATATAACAATAAAAGTACCAGGACTTAAATGGCATGTGACTTTGGCTCCTAGCAAAGCTGCAAGCAAGCATTGTAAGATATAGTGTCCCACCAAGCCAAGCTGCCCAGTCAAACCACCAATCCACAAGGTGGATTGAGAAAAGCAAATGAAGGTAATCCAGTCTGTCATAAAGTACTGTTCAAGTGGGTGGACTCATGAAGTGCATAGAACATTCCAGAGAAAGCAGATTTACGTCCAATTGCATAATACAAAGCATCCAGCACATGAAAGCTTGCTATAAAATCCCAATGGAAGTCTCCCAGTAAAAACTTACCCATTAATGGGGTTTAATGAAATGGTAGTTGAACATGGGGGCAATGGCCAGTCCTATTCCAAGCACATTTGTCTTATTGGCCGGACTGGCTGATATGACTGTTCTTTGCCTATGGAAGGCAAATTGCTGTATAAGATCCTGTTTTATTGGTAAAACATCCAGTTGCACTACATTGTACCTCAAAGTAAAGGTCACCTGTTAGGTTAAGGATAGAATAGTTCACCTTTACATAGGGCAGGACAAGCTCTGAGTCTCCTGAGATAGTATCTGTGATTGGTTGTTGAGCCAAAGCTGCAAAAATTGAGTATAGTCAAGTAAAGGCTGTGAAAGGATTTGGAGCAGAACACAGAGCAGATTACATGACATACAACCTTTGAAAAGGAAGTCTCTTACAGTACCAATAGTGTAGCCTTGTGCATTGTTTCTTCTATTCTGAACCTGTTGACATTCTCGTCATTACATTGCCTCTGACTGTGCCTATACTGACGTCAAATTCCTTGTGCTGGTTATGTAACATAATCCACAGATGTACAGTCACTTATGGTTACTCTGATGTTCAGGTGACTATAGCCAAGACACCTCGTCTGATTGAGGAGCAGCACTCCAGCGAGCAAAGGTGTGCACTGAAGCGTTATACTGCTGTGCAGAGTAGAGCAATCCTCAGATGAGAAATACAGGTGACCATTAGGCATGGACACAAATGTCACATTCTTAGTTAAGGAGAGGTGCTGATCAGTCCTTATATTGTAATAACCAGTAATTGCACCTTTGCGGGTTATTGGGAGTGATATTGGCAGGTGCACATCTGGATCTGTGTGCTGTTTGCTCGCTTTTCCTGGCTTCTGAATAGACACCCAAAAGCCAAATAACATGGTACAGGAGACTTCCTAACACTTCTCAATCGTGGCTGCAATGGGGAAATGGTCGTCAGCTTCCAAGGTAACGTTGTAGATAACATCCTCATGTGATAAGTCTTTATGGCAGGAAACAGATGTGTTGATACATCGAGGGGTGCCTCCTGAATAGCACTGCAAGCCTGGTGTTTCCATGCAGGAGCTACCAACCCAAGAAGCAGTCATCAGGAGGAGCAGTAGGAATAATAGCCTAGTTACAGCGAGGCTCAGTAATTGCAGGCAGTGGAGGGGCAAGCCCACATGGGGTGGTGTTTGAACCAATGGCAGGAGTTCCTTAGGACATCCTGGGAGACAGGAATGTCACATCAGATTGGAGTTTATTGATCTTTGTGTTAATTGACTTGAATGCTGCAATGGTTGACTGCAGCTAATGATTCTACAGTAGCTCTAACAACAGAGCTGTCTCATCTCTGATCTAAGATCAGTGAATATGCCTTCCTCTGTGTTAGAATTACTCAGAGCTCCTCTTTCCTCTTTTCAGCTCTCACCCTCTAGATGAGCTCCATGGTCACAAGCTCCTCTTACCCTGTCTTTCTGAGAGCTAAGCTTACCCTCTGAGCTCCCACCTAAGGTACTTCGGAGGTAACTCCCTGAGTGGTGCTGTGGTCTTCGTTGCAATCAGCTGCTCCAGGTTATATCCTGGACATGGCTCTGTTGACCTTGAAGCCACATATTAGGAGCCAGCAGAGGAGCCCTGCAACTCCTCGGACATTTTTAGAATCTGACTTTGGTTCCAAGGCATAGTTTTTAGTGGTGGAAAAATGGGATACCACATGAATGTCCATGAATAAACAATAAAGGATAAAAGATTAATTTCTGGTCCTTCTAGACTATGAAATATTATACAGCTGATAAACAAATTATATCTATATGTTTTATCTTCAAGGATATTGATTATAAAAGCAAGTTTCAAATCAGTATGTTTAAAATGAGCCCATATGCCTAAAAAATACCATAGGCTTATATATTTGAAAGAGTTTGAAAATAACATTAGTTATTTCTAAATTATGGGGAAGAAGAATGGGGACCTCTTTTAGAGGATTCTATACCTCTAGGGAATGGATAATTAGCTTTTATTTTATATATCTTCAGATTCCTCACTACTTACAAAATTAGCTGTTATTGGGTGGGAGTATAGGTCAGGGGTATAGCACATGCTTAGCATGCACGAGGTCCTGGGTTCAATCCCCAGTACCTCTGTTAAAAAAATTAGATTAAAAAAATTCATTAAAAAAAAGAAGGTAAAAAGACAAAATTAGCTGTTACTAAAATTAATGAAAAATTGTAATTTTGGTAGGGGAAAGGACTACTAAATTTTTCTTAATCTATCCAACAGCATCTAATCCAATAAACATTCTGTAAATATTTGTGGAAGATGGAGGGAGTAGAAACACATTTAAATATATTTTGTAGAGATGAAAAGATCACCGTTAAACCATTAATGGTGTGATGAAGCATTGCAGAACCTCTAAATGAACAATGGGAGGGAGGAGGAGAGATACTTAATGAAGCTGGCAAAAAAAAAAAATGGGAACAGTGAAAGCAAGGTAAAATAAGTAACAGACACCAATGGAAGAGATAAGATCAACATTGCAGTTACTCCAATAAATGTAAATGGGTTGAATTTACCTATCAAATAAAAAAAATCTTTCATATTGGGTATAAAAACTCAGCTAGATGTTGTGTACCTTTTAAAACACACAAAACAAAGTGAACATTTAACAAAAAGGATCCTATTCACAATCCACAAATACGATCAAAATATTTCAGAATACACCAAGCAAGACAAGTGCAAGATGTGTCTGGAAAAAAAGCTGTAGAATTCTAGTGAATATATTAGTTTTCTACTGCTTCAGTAACAGATAATCACAAACTTAGAGGCTTAAATCAACCCCAGTTTATTTTCCAGTTCTGTAGGTGAGATGTCTCACTGGGCTAAAGTCAGGGTGTCAGCAGGGCTGGTTCTTTTTGGAGGACTAAGCTAAGGGAGAATCCCCACACCTTGCTCATTCAGATGTTGGTGGAACTCAGTTCTATGGGGTTGTAGGGCTGTTTCCTTGGTGCTGTCAGCTGGGAGCCATCCTTAGTTCCTCGAGGCCTCTCTGGAGTCCTTGTAGATAAGATACCCCACAACACTTCAGAAGCAGCAGTAGGATGGGGAATCCTCCTCTGATTAGATTGGGCCCACCCTATATAATACAGGATAACTGATTTTGTATCTCCCTCCAGAGAAAGTGGCTTTTGTAAATCTTCTTGACTTGCAAAGAAGCCCTATAGGGAGGCAGACTCTCCTTAAGAAGTGTTTAGTTCATCCAACCAAAAGTTATTTCAAGGCAATTTTCATGCTTTATTAACAACAGTAAGTATGTTTGAAATGTATCCTACTTATAAATCTCTGGAAATAATAGTCACCAGTATTTAGTCCCTAACACTAAGCACACTGGAATAGACATCTCAGACATCATTCTGAACCCCTAGATTAAAGGTCAGTTATGGGTGTCTTTGTATTCTGTCTCCACTTTTCTTACTTTTCCTAGCCAAAACACGGGAGTGAAAAAACCCCTCTAAGATACTGCGCTGACAGACATCCTGTGACGTCCGGAGAGGGGCGCTGTGCGGCGGCCTAGTGTGGCCGCGGTCGCCCTCTCCCGCAGTAGGAGATACGGGTCAGCAGGAGGTGGCCAGGAAGGGTCCAGCAAGGCACAGCCTGAGCCTGCAGCTTCCCAAAGGGTGGACACAATGACCCAGTCACCATCGGCCGGGCAGTACTACAGTCCGCTGTTACCCGCGCTGGGCCGCCTCACCCTCACTTAGTTCCAGCGGAGAAAACCAAACAACCACAGGAATATACCCGGATGGAGCGGCATCATCCTCCCCCTTCCGTCCCTAAACCCGGTCTGAGGTGCGCATGCACATCCTGGAGGCCATTGGGCGAGGCGAAGGGTGGGTCGCCTGGTGAGAGAAGAGCGGCGGTTGGACGAGAGGGGAGCTACGTCCATGCGTTAACGTCTCTGCGCATGCGCCGGGCGTCAGCTTCTGGTACTTTCGACGCGTTTTCGAACGCTCGGCTCGGATCGCGTCCGGACGTCGGAGGTGGAGGTATATAGGTTTTGGTTTTTGGGAGTGGCAGCGAAAGGCCTCTCTTCGTCTTCAGCTTCAGAAGGAAGGCGTCCGTTGGGGCTTTCTTTCCGTGTTGAGTGAGGCGTCGACGGCCTGTGGTGGGTTTTCTGGTGATGGGTTGGGTCCCGCAGGCACCTCATCCCGTGCGTGGCCGGGGCAGTGCGTGCCCTGTGGGACGGGGACGATGGCGGCGCTTCAGGGCTGGCAGGTGGCGTCGCCATTGCCCGGAGGCCGGGAGGCTCGTTTCCTTCTGAGCCCCCGGCCAGCCAGCGCGACTCACTTCCGGGGCTTCATTTTTTTCCCCTCCCCTCTCGTTTGTTTTTTAGAAACAAGTTTCCTGGAAGAGATCCTCGGAGAAAAGGAAGCTTGGAAGCTGTCGGCCGAGATGTCTAGCTACGTGAACGACCTGTGGCCGGGCTCGCCGCGCAAGGTGTCCCCCTCGTCGTCGCGGTCGGGCCCGTCCAGCCGCCTGTCCTCGGCGTCGGGGAGCCGCTCTCCCCAGAGCTCTCGATCTCCGTCCCGGTCCAGCATCTCGAGCCGCTCGTGGTCCAGGAGCCGCAGCCCGCCCCGGCGGAGGAGCAGGTCGAGGTCCCGCTCCCGGAGGCGCTACCAGAGGAGGTACCGGCGCTATTCCCGATCCTACTCGCGGAGCCGCTCGCGGTCCCGCAGCCGCCGGTACCCGGAGAGGCGCTACGGCTCCCCCAGGAGGTCCTGCCGGTCCCGCAGCCGCTCCCGCTCCCGGGGCCGCTCCTATTACCGGAGGGCCTACGCTATCGCGCGCAGCCGCCGGTACTACGGCTTCGGCCGCACCTTCTACTCCGAGGAGCGCAGAAGCTGGAGGGGGCGATCCCGGACCAGGTCGCGGAGCCCAACCCCCTTTCGCCTAAGTGAAAAAGGTGAGTCCGTCTCAGAGAGAGGCTTTTGGAGGAAAGAGGAAGGACGTCTGTAGATTAATGGTTAAAACTACGCTACAGTTGGCACCCAGTTTTAAGATGGGCGCCATTCTTTCCTCTTGGGACTGAGTCAAGTGTGTGTGTTACATATAAATGATTCAGGGTGGAGGGAAGTTCTTGGTGGAGTGTGTGTGTTACATATAAATGATTCAGGGTGGAGGGAAGTTCTTGGTGGAGTCTTCAAAATGTTAGTGATTTCTTTACCCATTGTAAGCTTTCAATTGTAGATTACTTATGGATGCTTATTTTCCTCAGCAAAAGAGGTAGAGTTCTGTTTCCATGAATAGTTATATCTTATATATGAAATCGTTTATTTTCAGTTTTCAAAAACTTTATTATGAAAAAAATCTATGCAAAAGTAAAACTAGTGCGGTGGACACCTATAAACTCAGCCAGATGTTCTACAGTTGCTAAAAGTGTCACAGGAAATGTTATTTAAACTTCCGTATATTGCTGGGTTAAAAAAGCAGAAACTTGTTTTGTGATTTAAGTCTTTTGGGGAACTACTACAGAATTAATGAACATTCTTATGTTTTGTAGATCGAATGGAGCTGTTAGAAATAGCAAAAGCCAATGCAGCAAAAACATTAGGAACTGCCAACTTTGACTTGCCAGCTAGTCTCAGAACTGTTCCTGTATCTAAAGAAACAAACCGTGGAACGGCTGTACTGAATAACCGGGCAAAGTCTGAGGTAAGTATTCTAGGTTTATCCAAACAAAATCTTCAGAAAACTACTGCCAGAAAGATCTGATTAGCCATTTTTATTTGATTTGCCCTAGACTGCTGCTTGGAAAGGCCAGCTAAATAAAATTTGTTAAAATGAAAATAACAGATTTGACAATACTGGACAGAATCTCCCCCCATGAAAATGGGAGACAGATGAACTTTATTTTCAGTTGGCACAGTACTAATTTACTTTCATAATTGTAGCTAGTATTTTGGTGATTTCTGTGCAGTTATCAAGTTGTTTTAGCTAGTTCTTACAGAGTATTTATATGTAGCTTTCATTTGCAGCATTATGTTCCCACAAATTCTGTATTCAACATACAGTATAGTTTATCTGCTTTATTTCTGTCTTATAGAAATCATGAATGTGGTCTCCAGACATTGATGAAGAAAATCTGTTGGTAATTGATACATGGGCAAAAGCATCAGAGGTTTAACTAATTTGAACTTTATGTTGACACACTGAAAGCTTAGTTTTTTGTTGATAGATCCATGTGCATGCTAGAATTTGGGACAGGTACTATTTGAATAAGGTACTAAAGACAATTTTTAAACAAAAGTGTACTTCTAGTGGTGGGGCATCTGATACAGGTGTCCCTTTCATAATATATGCAATATATTCCAGATGTTTTGAGAGATTACAGAAGAAGAGGCCTGCTTCACTTGCAGATAAGTTTATTACAATTCTCCGGAAATTCTGCAGTATAAAATTGATAGCTTTAAACGTTTAAGGTAGTTAGGAATTGATAGGCAAACCCACATCTGGGTCTGAACGAGAGGAGATAATCCATCTTTCCTATCTTAACCGAGCCTAAGTATTAGTGATAGACAAATAAGATCTTAGTTGAGTTGCTTTTTCAGATGATCAGGTTCCCAACTGGATTGACAAATGCCTTAGTTCTTTGAAACTAGGTATTTTCTGGTACAACTACTTTCAAAGTTATTTGAATTTGCATCAGGAGATACAATACTGCTTTATGGGGAAGAGTGTTTTAAGCCTATCATTCAAGCACCTTTGTTATGGGGAAAACTCAACAGAGTACCATGTTTATTTTAGGCTGTTAATTATTTGGTTAGATCTCTCCAACTAAATTTATAATACATTTTTGGGCTGCTTTTTATACAGTACTGTAAACCAAGGGTATGGCTTTTTAAAATACATATTTTTTCTTACCTGTCTAGCTGTCGGAAAAGTTAACAGAAGATGAAACTAAAAATCCCAATGGAAAGTCTTCTCAGCAAAAAAGCATAGCTTTTAGCTCTAATGTAAGTATATCTAAGTATTAACCACTCAAAAATTGGACATAGAACATATTTCTGTCATGTGAGCTTTTATTTTTGTTGACTTACAGTTTTTGTCTTTATGATGATAATTTGAGGCCTACTAAGCTACTTAAATAAATTTTTTAGTATCTTTTTGTGTGGCTCTTAGAAGTGACTGATATAATTCCGTCTAATATCCACATTATCAGTTTGAATATTTTGCCTTACTTTTAAATATTCCTCTTAAAACTTTCCAATTGCTGAAATATTTAAGTTATCTTAAATAGAATTATTTAATGTATCTTGTAAAAGCACATATTTTATGTATAATATATATGTTTGGGAAGCTGACTTAAGAATTTGTTCTCTTTACAGAATTCTGTAGCAAAGCCAATGCTTCAGAAGTCAGCTAAAGCTACTGCTGAAGAGACCTCTTCAGGGTCCCCAAAGATAGATAAGAAGAAAAGTCCATATGGACTGTGGATACCTGTCTGAAAAAAAGAAAACCAATGGCTAAGGTTACCTGAAATGCACTTTATTGCAAATGTGTGTTTCTAGCATTATTCCATTCCTGTGCACCATTTAGTGGTAATTGTTGCAATGACAAATGATGACACAAGATGATGTAAATACTTAATATTTAAATATTAACATTTTAGATTTCTCTTGCAGACAGGAGATAGGACAAATGGACCAGAGGTTACGCACAGGTGGGATCCTTGTAAATATACTTGTAAATATTTTATATAGTATGGATTGGTTATATAGAAGTGAAATTTTTAAGATAAACACAGTAATTGAACTCTTTATCTTGTATATATTTTAATAAAATGTGTTTTTATTATTTTAGTCTCAGTTAATTGTGTATATTTTACATAATGGGTCTTTAATGGGAAGAATAAGGCTGTATCTCTAAAAGCCTTGCTAAATCAGTTAGTTCCACATCCACAGACTGAGCATGGGGGACCTTACACTCTCACTGACCTTAACCTGGGAATTTGTGAGAAATGCTGAATCTCAAGTCTCTCCCCCGTCCCCCCAACCTCAATTAGAAACTAAATCATAACAATATTCTCCATTGATGTAGATTCTTATTAAAATTTGGGAATCCTGCCATACTGTTGTGCTGGAAGAATTGAGCTTAAGGGCAGGAAACTTAGGCTGAAACAGAATACCTCAATGAGCTATAAAATCTGAGGTTTTAGTTGCATTTTTTCATAATGCTTTAATAAGTATTCTAAATACTAAATTCATTAATTTGAAATTCTTTAATGCTGCTGTAGCTGGGAAGAACCTTAGCTAAAGCACATGAAAATTTAAAAATGAATGTTATCTTAACTGAAAGATCTAGACAGTTGGTTTAAATAATAGCTAATTAGAGACTTGTAGTAGTATTTGCCTATTAATAAATACTAGTGGATACCAATATTAGAAAGATTTAAGCCACTTAGATTGTTTCTGCAAGTGTTACTTGACTTAAAAGATCAATGTTTTGAGTTAAACGAAGGAGCCAGCTTAATGAATTTATTGTGCATATGTGCTAGGCTTTAGCAGTAAAACATCTTGCTAGAAGGAAAAAAAATCCTGGTAGACCAAAAACATGCATGAGGTTTTATTTTAGTTAAAGTTGGGGGAGGGCGCTTAATATTGATTGTTTTTCTTTCCTACTCTCTTGACTCTTGCCACAATCTTGAGCAGATTAAGAACAGAAATTTAGAAAACAATAAAGTAGGCTTCTAATAGGCAAGGATAACAAATTAGAGGATAGGATGAGCATATTAGAGGCAAAACAACAAATAAGACAGATACCCAGAAATTAGATGAATAGATGGGCAGGCTTAAATCCTAATTCTTGAGTAGAAGTAGACTTTAAAAAAGATGGTAAAGGTCCTCAAGTGGGATGTACTATAGTATAAAAGATGTGTACTGTCCAGTATTTCACCTGCATTTTCCATTAAGACAGCCATTAGCTACGTGTGGCTGTTGACCACTTGAGAAGTGGTTAGTAAGAGTGATGAACTGAGCTTTAAGTAACCACTTACTGGGAAGTACAGATAATAGGTTTTTGTCATAGAGCAGCTCTATCCAATACAATTTTCTTAAATTTGACCCTGTGGAAAAATGTACAAAGACTTGGATATATATTATACACTCCTGGATGTGTAATTCCTATCTCTGTCACTTACATAGCCTTGGTCACATTTTCATCCCTCAATCCAGTGGCGCTTGATTTGAACAAGGGGAATTTCCTAGGAGAAAAAGTTGCTATTCTGGGTAAAATGTCTTTCTCAACTAGGATAATTCTTGGGGGTGGGTAACATGATTTGAAAGGTAACAAAGTTTACAAAGCAGATGCATTTTATTCTAAGGAGACCTGAGAATATTGGTAGACTGATATGGTTACAGCAGAGTCCAAGAGGACATCAGCATTTGTAACTTTTAAAAAAGCAGACACCCTCATTAGTATCATTTTTAAAACTTAAAAAAAAAACAGGAAAAAAAACCGTGAACACCCTTGTTAGTATCATTTGTTGGTATCTTTAGCAAAGTTGCAGAACTCAAGGATTTCCTTATAAGGGGGACTTGGAATGAACTGACAATGCTAGGATCATTTTCACGCTCACTTAGCTGGTAACAGAAAAGCACTTCCTTTGATTGTGACCTGTGTTCAAATGCAGCCCTTAACAGCTAAGGGGACAAGTCATGTAACCTCTTCAAACCTTTTCCTTTAAGAGGTTTAGCTAGTTGCTGTGGCTGTGTGCCATTTCTGAGATTCACTCCTACAGTGATTTTTTCCTTTGGTTTGAGACTTACCTATATTCCTTTCATTTCTTTTTTGGCTCATTTTCTCTTTACTACCTAGTCTCCTGAAAAGAATGCTTTTTTTCATAATTACCCTATGGAGTCCTATCAGTCCTTGTTTAACTTGACCTTGTTGTTTGTGCCTGGTCTGGACTATTGGGTTCAGTCTCTCCTAGGCTTTGTAACACAGATTAACTGTGGATGTTCCCAGATGGGCTGTCATGTAAGTGGCATGCAGTTGCCCAGGTGTGATACCATGTCATATAATCTGTGGACAATTACAGCAAGCTGGTGGTGACAGTGGGAAATTACACCAAGAGACTAAATTAATTGTTGTCCAATAGAAGAGCCACATTGAAAAAGGTAAAAAGAGGTGAATTTAAGTTACCCCAGTATATTTAAAAATATCATTTCAACATTTAAGAAAGTGGGTTTTTTGTGGGGTTTTTTTTTCGGTAGGTGGCGTGATTCAGTGTATTTTACACTTAAAGCACAACTCAGTTTGCCTTAGCAACATTTCAAGTGATCACTAGGCATATGAGGTGAGTGGCTACCATTTTGGAAATCACAGCCCTAGGTAGTAGGTTCAGGTCTGTAATACTTTGCTTTTCTTCTAGAGAAGCCATGCTTACTGAACTAATGCACCACAGCATGCTGTCCTTTAGTTTTCTTTGCTGAAGCATTTATTAAGCTTACTTAGTAAAATGAAACGTTTCTACGAGTGCTCCCTTTTCACTATTTCTTTTGTGGAGTCCTTTCTCAATTTTTTCTGTCATTCATGCAGAGATTTACATGCCTTTCTTTGATCTCTCCCATTGTCTACAGGGGCTCTTTGTCCTTTGCCCACTGTTGGGATTCTGTCCTTGGCCTTTCTCTACAAGCTATTTTGACAATTTCCTTCACTCTGCCTTTTAACTACCATCTGCTAACTGAAAATTATCAATTTTCTAAGCTCCAGTTTCCAATGCTTGCCTCAGCTCTACAAAATGAATCTTTCCTATACTGAGCTTATTACAGTATTGCCTGTTTGAATTTGTGGCTTTTACCATCCACCCAGTCACCATCAGAGTAGTCTTCAAATTATACTGACATCTGCTTATTTGGTTGTCTGTGGGGAGTGCTTTTCTACTCTGGAGAAATCCTATTTGTCATTTAAACCCAGGCAGTGATGTCTATGAAACCTACCCTTAGTAATTTTTCCCTCCTCTCCTTTTCCCTTAGTACAAAGGTATTAAATGTTTCTTCGAAAATACTGGGGAACAAAAAACTATGGCAGATTATTCCTAGGATAAGATTAGGCAGTATGGTTATTTGTATCAAATTATTTTAAAAAATAAGTAAAATTATATCGCCTCTGTTCCCATTCCCCAGGGGTAATCACTCACTATAAATAGTATGATATACCTCCTGGATTTTTTCTATGCCTGTACAAACCTCCCTATATATAGTTGAGTGCATCTTTTCATGTTAGTATAGATCTGTCTTGTATAATTATATGAATGTACCATAGTGTTAAAATTTACCTATTCGCAGTACATTGAACATACCTTTATTAATAGCATTAATATTACCATCTTTATAAGCCCATCATTAGCTAAATCAGAACTTCCTACTCATGTGCCCAACCTACTTACTGACCTCAATCCTAGTCATTTTTATTCACATAACATGGCACAACTAATCTCCTTCACTTTCATGTAATACTCCTGACTACCAGTTTTCTATCCTCTATTTCCCATAACTACTACTAAGACCACATGTCCTAATAATATTTTTACCAAATGTTTTAACTTACTTTCTTCCAAGGGATATTTGCTTTTTGAAGGCTGGCATATTTATAAAATGCCTTTGGAAAATCAGTCTCCTACCCTCCCTATGTTTGCCCCATAAATGCACCTGGGCCATGGGGTAGAACATGGGACAAGTGAGCACCTGTTAGTTGTGACCGTATCCTGGGGAGAGGGGCTAGGGTGAACTGCCGGTAGCCACTGTCATCGCCTTCCTTTCACTACCTACCACAGCTTACAAGAATAATTACTACCAGTTTAGCATCCCATCTCTGAAGCTCCCAAGTTCAACTCTAGGTCAAGTCAAATATATGACAAACTTCAGCATGATGATGACTTGTCTTTGTATCTAAGAGTTTTAAGCCTAGCAGAGTGCACATCTTAAGCACACACTTTAAACAAAGAAATACAAGACAAATTTTTCTTCAAAAAGTGAATAATAAATATATAAGTATGAAAATACACAGACATTCGTAGAACACTTTACAAGTTATAAAAGGAATGAGTCCTAGTTTACTGGTACAATTTGGCAGTCAAAACAGTTCCTAAAGGAGATTAGACAGCTGTTCCTCTTTCCAAATTCTGTTTAATTTCAGCTGTATATTTCCCATAGAATCTTTCTGCCTTCTTGTTGAATTTGGCATTCCTTTCATTAAGGTAGTCAATATCTGCATCATCATTATAGGGACGTCTCCGGCTATATTTGTCGCATTTTTCAATTCTGTAATGTAAACAAATATACAAAATTCAAAGCTGCTTTTTTGTTCTTAATAGTTAAGACTGATAACAATACCTTTAGAAAAGCATCCTACAATGAAATATGTTCAATGAGCATTCCTGAATTTAATTTTATAAGTTAACAGTACCATCAGATGGTCTGGTCTGCAGTTTGGGAAATTACCCAAGTTCATATTGAAATATAAGGGCAGTGATACATTATACTATGTTGAGAGCATTTTTATACATACTCTGTAGGTTCTGCCTAATAATTACCCCTTCAAACACAAACAGATGTTGGAATGGGACCATTCCTCAAAGCAATAACTCAAGATGTTCCTTAATTTCTACCCACTTGCTACACTTTAAGACCATAACATTAATTTTGTTATTAAACATGAAACTAGTACTGAAACTTTAGGTTGGACTTGTAATACTTACTGCTTTTCCAAGTCTGTGACCATCCTATCAATTTCCTCTGTGGAACGCACATGTGGTCTATGAAGAAGACTGTTAGATGTTGGGTAGAACTACTCTCCACTGAAAAAGAGGCAAGTGGTGAGTAAACAAAAGAAAAAAAATCTTCAGAACTGGACACTGTTTAGTGGTCAGAAATGGAAACTTTGGGATCATATTTGATTTCAAAGAAACAATTCAGATTTGAAAAAAGATATTTAAGAAATACCTACTCCAAAGCCCAAATGAGTCAGCTGAGGACCACAGGTGAGTGGACTTACCTAACCCAGTTCATACAGAAGGAGGGCTTGAATAACATGCTGTGCTCAGCACAATTTACAGCTCTCTCCACTATACTATATGATCACTTTTAAAATAGTCTTGATCTTTAGCAAATGACCTGTCTTACATAATTAGGTAAGGAGTGCAGTTTACATGGTTTACTGTACGTGATAAAGTTAGAAAGTATTACAGTGTCCTTTACCTGTGGAAGGAGTTAGAACAACAGTAATCATGATAATAAACAGGTAAAACATAACACAGTGCTTACTATGTGCTAAGCACTGATGAAGTTTACTGTATGAATTCATTTACTCTTCATCATAACCCTATAAGGTAAGCACTATTATTCCCTGTATACACACGAGGAAACAGAACAATTGTGTGACACAGCTAGTAAGTGGTGGAGCCAGGACCCAAGGCCAGGAATCAAAGCTCCAGATCAGCTCTCTTAAATTCAAGGCCTTCCACTAACATATAAAATGTATACTTTTAAATCACATCAACTTACTGTTTTTCTGTCTTTCATATGTTTCCATGTCAGGATTGATCTGCTTGGTTAACCTATGATACTGGCGTTAACTGGGCAGCAGCATAATCTAAAAAACTGAGAACCCAGATTGTTTTCAGTGTTGGGGCATTATTAGACTTGTTAAGTGGGCCATTAACAGGTCCATCCAATAAAGTAAAGGTTAGTTTTACCTGAAAAACCCAGATCTGGTTTTTCTGCCTTTTTCTTCTCCCATCTTTCTGCATCTTCTGCACTGATCTCCAGCAATTTCACTTTCTCAGTCTTCCCACCTTGCTGCACATTCCTAAAAAGAGGGAAAAGAACATTAGCTTTACTGCCTTATATAATTTCTTGAGTTCTTTCCACTCAAAGGCCTAAAGACTGCCATCAAGACAGTAAGTTGACCAATTTTCAAAGAAAATTGTGGCATTTGCTATTATCTGTAAGAAGTAATACATCTGTAACAATGACATCAAAAATACCTGTGTGGGACACATTAGGTGTCCATCAAAATCCTTTCTCCCCTCCTTCCTGGGCTCATGGCTGCCCATTTCTCAACCTCCCTCACAGATGGATCAGGACAGATAACTTGGGCTGCTCAACCGGGAACTGACACATGAGAGACTCATGAGTTTTACCGTTTAGTACTGTTGAAACTTTTGTTACTGTAGCTTTTTACCCTAAAATCCATTGTTTATGTGGCTCTAATGATGTGCCAGGCACTGTTGTAAATGTTTTACATACTTTTTTCTCACAACTCTCTAAGGTACAGATCAAGGAAACCAGAGCCAGAATGCTTAATGCTGAACTACCATGCCATATACTGCCTCACGGAACACAATATAATATCTGATCCACAGCTTGTGAAGAAGGCAGAAGTGTACTTACTTTTTTCTTTCCTTCCATTCCAAACGAGCTTTTTTAGCTTCCCAGTTTGCAGGTAGTTTAAGTCTTATTTTCCTTCACAACTTCCTAGTGATTTAATTTTTGAGCTTCATTCTACCACCAGGACACATAAAGTTTATCAGCAGAAGTATGGAAACAAATCCAAACATGTTATCTGTCTTCTTCTATGGTAGACCATCCAAAATAGACTTATGGGTCTTATCCTGGAAGGAAGGGAGCTACACTGTGTGTGTGTGCTGGGGATATTTCATGTAGGGGGACGAGATGAGGTAAATATTCATACCCATACCTCAAAGTATTCTTTCACTGCCTTTGAGGAACCACGTGGTAAAGATGGAAAGAGCAATAATTTGGGAGTAAGGAGGCCTGAGAAATATATTGATTTGACTATTCCTTGGCTGTGTGATGTAAGCAAGTCTCTTAGGATTGGACTGAAACAGGGTTTCCTGAAGTATGAGTTCTACTGTACAGAGGTACTCGAGGGGATTTTAGATACTACTGAATACTCTGAGTCACGTACTGAAAAAGTGATTACATTTTCATTCCTCTTTTAATTCAGATTGGGTTGAAGACAAAGTTTCAGCAACTAACAGTTTAACACCTCAAAAATACCTATCTTAACACCTTGTTTAATCTCCCTTTAAAAACAGAGGGTAGGAGGCACCACCAGAATGCATCAGAATGCAAATCCTGACTGTGAAACTACAGACAAAATAACCTGTTTTTTTTCAACCCAACAAAACAAACTCCCAGCCTCCCACACCCACGCCACTCCTGCTAACCCAAAACAAGCCCACAAAACAAAACAAAAAAACCTCAAAAAACAAAAAACCCCCCCAAAAATGGAAAGAGAACCTACAGATTAAAGAGACTAAAATTAAAAATTCCCATTTGAAATAGTAATATTAAATAAATTTAAATAGTAATTTAAAGAACACTGAACAAGTGGACAGGTGGTCACACTTACAAACCATGAAGGTGGTATGAGAAGGACTCCAAACTAATTCCCCTATTGTCTATGAAGTTCAGAAAGTTTCAGGTCACAGAACTGGTGGCAGAGTCAGGCCAAGAACCCAATTTTTCCTGATTTCTAGCTGTTTTTTCCTCTACATATTAAGTATTTTAATATCTCTTTAACCACAATACCATCAGCATGCTCCCCAAATAATTCCTTAAAATCAAATATCTTGTCAGTGTTCACATTTTCCTGATGGTCTCATAAGTGTTATTTTTACAGTTTTTTTGAATTGGAATTGAGACAAGTCCCATACATTGTGATTAATCAGTATGTATGTACATCTCCAAAGGTTTATTTAATCTACAGTTTCCTTCTCCATCATCTTTATCCATTGCTCTTTTGGGGAGTGCGAAAATGACTGGGTTGAATGTTCTATTGTTTCCTAAAGTGGCTTTTGCTAGTTGCCTCCCTATAATGTCTTATAACATATTCCTTTGATCTCCTGTATTTCCTATAAATCGGTCATTAGATCTAGTGGCTTCATCCAATTCAGGTTAGATTTTGGGGAAGTCTAATTATACGAAGCTAGTGTTACATCTAACAGGAGATACATAATCTCCAGATTTTCTCCTTTTCTGTGATGTTCACAGCTATTGCCTGTAATCCAGTGATTCATTAAAGACTGCAAAGGAGGGATGTTTGAATTATATCATTGCTTCTTCACGTATCATCTGGCCTCCTATTCTCTTACAATAATTCAAGTGAATTAAGTATGTACGTTCCACTAGTTTTTAGGCTGAGTTTTTCTGCGCAAATAAGGATAACTACCCTCCTCACACATACCCTTGTCTCCGGTTGCACTCAGCTGCCTACTGGCCTCGTACCCTAATGGGGACTATTCCTTTGCCCTTATTCCTACTATTTGGATACCTCTGGTCCCAACTCCTTTACTTGTTTGATAGTATCCTACTCAGCTTAGTTGTACTTTAGTAGTCTTTTTTTTCACTGCACTCGGAGGCACTTTGTTCCTCCCTCTAACATGGCATTTATCAAGTCGTGGAGTAGTGACTGGTTTTGGGTCTACCTCCACCACCAGGCAGAAGCCTTACCGTATTTATCGCTGTAGCCACACTATCTGGTTGGCTGTGATAGACTAGAGGCCACTGAGGGGGAGGGGACGTTTCTGGCGGAATGAGTGACGCCAACTTGCTGTGTTAACAGACAAGTTACTTCACATTTCTGGTCCGCAGTGTCCCCATTCATAAAAAGAAAGATTTGACAGAATCACGTGAACTGAGAGGAGGGTGCGGTGAAAGGTTGCTTAAAAAAATACCAATGTCTGGGTCCAGAAACTGATCAAATCACACGCTCTGGACGTAAGGCCTAAGCATGTGTAGTCTTAAAAGTTCTCGAAGTGACTCCAATGTGCTCCCAGGTTGAGAACCCTGGGGCAGAACTTTCATCTTGCTCTGCGGGTCTGTCACACGCGCTGGTGCAGCTTCCTCGTCCCTTCCTTCACAAACGCCCACAGGCCTGGCCAGCTGACAGGTCTCAGGTGACCCCCAGGGCTACTCACCCGCTTCAGGTGCAGCTCCCGGAATTCGCGCAGCCTCTGTTCGAGCTTCTGGGCGGCCAGCTCCTCGGCCCCCACAGAGGGCTGCTGCTCCTCGGCGCCGCCCACTGGCCCCTGCTGCGAGGGGCAGGCTGGAAGCAGGGCCTATTTGGCTGCTCCCTGGAAGGCCCAGGCGGATTCCCCGTGAGTCCCGACAGGCCAGGCTAGACCCTCACAGCCGACCCCGACCCCACAGTGTCTGCGTCCCTCTCCTTTCCTCCCTCGCATCGCCTCTAAGTCTGACCGCAAACGCCTCTATCTCCCCAACCGCTGGGCAAGGCCAGCCACCCACCTTCTCTGCCTTAGCTTCCGCCGCCATCACCCGCCAGCGCTTTCCCCCCAGACTTCAGGCGACAACAAGTAACTTACCTTTTCCGACTTTCTGGCTCACTTCCGGCCGCCAGGAGCCACAGGTTTCAGGACAAAACCTCGCCCCTTTCTGCTTCCCCAGGAGCTGAGGAACCACTCCCCGCCCCTCGAAGCCCTGGGCTGTATTTAATTGGTCAGGCTTGTACGCAGGCGCATTGAGTGGAGACACCTGGGCGGTAGTGGCGAAACCGGAGAGGCTGCGGTCTGTGTGTCCGAGTTCGGTATTGGGACCGGAATGCAGAGTGAGAAGAGGGATAAAAGGGAGGAACCACCACCAAATGTGTGAGAAAGTAACCCAAAGCACAGGTTGTGCCCATCAAGTGACCAAAACCTTGTAATTCAGATCTCTGATTATACAATCCAAAGTAGGGCCACGGTCACCATCACATCAACCTGTTTTAATCTTTGCACAGCAGTTTATTGCCTCCCCACTAAGTACAACGTAAGCTTTAAGAGAACAGGATCTATTTCTATCTTGTTCACAACTCATTTCCTGCGCCTCCAAACGTGCCTGGTACAAAGATGCATTAATTTCATACTGAGGAAGGAAGGAAC